TCATCTGGTCCTGTAGTCCTCCATCCTTCTCATCTGGTCCTGTAGTCTTCCATCCTTCTCATCTGGTCCTGTAGTCTTCCATCCTTCTCATCTGGTCCTGTAGTCTTCCATCCTTCTCATTTTTTCCGGAGTAAACACATCTCCTCCGTCGTCAAGGAAACCCTGGATGCTGAGTCTCAGTCTTCCGTGATTGGTGCGGTGTGTGTAATCCTGAAAGTCCCAAAGTCCCAAATTCCAGAAAGTGAGTAAAATGAACAATCTTTGAATTATTGGTGTAAGAGGCTTTCAAGAGACTTGTGTAAATGCTGTCATCAAGTGTTGACTTACCTTTGTCTGGTTTAGCCATCTATACTTCATGAAGACAAATATTTATAACCAGTTATTGTGAACTTACCTCTGGTATCATTATCTAGCATCATTTCTCAATCAATGTCTTTAAAAAAAATGATCCAGCTCTGGTGAAAGATGCTTCCTATAGCACACTCTGACAGACGCGTGTGTTGGCTGTCTGGGGCTTTATCAGTCAAGGTTTTTTACAAACCTGCAGCAAACAGGGCGCTGGACCATCTGTAGTCCTCTTCCCTGATCCTGTTCGTGGAGGATCCAAGGCCTGAAGTGGAGGGCGCTGACCATCTGTAGTCCTCTTCCCTGCTCCTGTTCGTGGAGGTTCCGAGGCCTGAATTGGAGGGCGCTGACCATCTGTAGTCCTCTTCCCTGCTCCTGTTCGTGGAGGATCCGAGGCCTGAAGTTGAGGGCGCTGACCATCTGCAAGTTTAAGTTTGAGGCAATTTGAGGAGTTTGGGAATGGAAACGTGTTGGAATGTTTTTTCTTTCTGACTTCTGCAGTCAGAGTAGAAGTTCAACAAAAACATGAATAACGCATTTTATTACACATAAACTACAAATTCATCTCTCGTAATGTCTCAGTGGAGTTGGATTGAGAGAGGGGGCTGCTGAGGAGAATTTGGATGCCCTCGTCATGTTGTCAGTTACAGTTAGGTGCGCTGCTAATTCTGCTTATGCAGACGCGTAGGTGTTGAGCTACAGATGAATTTGAATGCACTCCCACACACTGTTGCGTCGTGCTGTTTATTTATCCCAATTTTTAACAGATCGCTAAGGAAACCACATTCAACCAGCGAGAGGCTTGTTTTAATTCATTCACAGTCAAACATGTAATGTAAGGAGGAGACTAACCTGATGGAGCAAACTCAACACCATCAGCCTTTAATTTGTTGCTTTTTTTGTGCCCTCGAATCAAATCCATTGTGGCGCGCTAAAGAAAGCGCTCCGAAGAATCTATGTTTTCAGGGTGCGACGGCTTCGACTAGTTCGTCTAGCCAATGACAACCAACAGATATGTTTTTATTCTTCTGACCAGTCTAGACCAGTTTAACGTTCCATTGACAGGTGTCCCAAACTGAAGATGACAAATAACAAGTAACGCTACTGTGACTGTTGGAGCATATTTTTTGGTCGTTGTAGTGAAGCCTGGCGCGAGGCGTGTGCGCCAGAAAATTACGTAATTGTGGCCTACACGTCTTGCTCGGGTAGGTCCTCAAGTATTTGCGGGGCTTGGTCGTGCACTTTCAAATTTTTGTAACTTGGCGCGTGCTATCACGTGACTGTCACAAATAGTTCACTGATACAAAGATGGTCAATTCCTTTTTAGATGCTTTAGAAACCAGAGGTCTTAAAAATATTCATTTGATTAAATCTTTTGCAGCCAAATCAAATAGTTTACAGGATATTCACCCTTTGTTTCTTTAAAATGCACATAATATTTGACTTGCATTTACAGGGCTTGCACAAAGGCAATAAAGTAGTTCATGAATATAAGATATGAGATTACAGATCATTACAATTCCTCCACGGCATTGTGGAGGTTGGTTTATAGATTTTTGCCGGTTACACTTGTTGTCTTTTTGATCCTTAACAATTCATTTGATTTGTACGCCCTCTGGCGTTTCGGAGAATAAGGCGCGTTGAGCATAAATGCCTTTGTGCCAGCTCCTAGCTTGCACGCCATCTGCGGAAGCTCACACCACGGGGCCGGGCGCAGCTGGAAATCAATGTCTTTGTTTTGGCTTTCTTTAGTTCGGTAAGTGAGGCTATCCGCACGCAGGTTTTGGTTGCTTGGTAGTGGCAGGAGCGTAATCTCCAATAAAGCGTGTGTAGGCCACAGCTGTCAGTCTGAACCCAGTAGAGCCAGATGTAATTGGCTTTCTGCTCGACACTCTCAAGGAGGAGGGTGAATGAACGAATGAGTGTGTGCTATTAGGGAGTTCTTTACCAGAGGATCGGGGAAACGCCACACCATTTTTACTGTCTTCTCTAAATGGAGACACCATTCCTTCTTTGCGAGGGTGTTTGACCTCCGAATAGAACAAGGAAAAAGATAGAGAGAGAAAGAGAGCTGGGGTGGGTGGGGGGTTGGATAGTACTGAGACCATCCCACCAGTAAGAACCACTTACTTGAAACCGTAGAAAACAAAATCACTTAGTCCGCAAACCGCATCACCGCCAATGGGATTCCAATAAAAAACATCAACTACGATGCACACAAACGTGCGCGCACATACGTACTGCAATTGCTCAGGCACGCTAATGGTACCACTGTGGAGATCTATTCTCTTCTGAGCTGAGAGTTACTGACTTGTTTGTCATCTCGAGGGTGGAACAAAAATGCATAAACATCAGTCAGAAAAAACGAGACAAACACGCATTGCTACTGAACATAAAGTGAACTCATGGAAAGAACACAATGTGAGAGATGTAATCATTTATTGACTACCAATCATCCCATCATGGACGGGGTTTTTTCAGCACCTACAGTAAAAAGCACATAGTGTGTGTATTTTTAGAACGTGTCGAGAATAGATTGACTTATGCTGATGAGATCATGAATATTTCACATCTGCTGGCAAATTAGAGCAGCTTTGAGCTCCCCCGGTCGCTCTCAGCTGTCCACCAGAGCTGGCAGAGTTAACTGGATGGAGCCGAACCCCAGGGGGACTGGCTGACAGTCGGCAGAGAGCATGCTGGGACAGAACCCCTGAATAAAATGGACTTTTGGAGAAATTCTCAGTGGGAAGCGGCACCAGAGGGAGCTGCATTTTCACATGATGTATGTGCTGCGTGTGCAGACCGGCTGCCTGAACACAGTCATCTCTGGGGATTGTGGTTCAGATTTACACGTTATTAAATCTGCATCCTATAACCTTGTTAGCACAGTAATTGCTTGAAAACTGCACCTGACTACAAATGGCTTTCACAGCTGAAGCAGTTGGGTCCCACTGATTTATGAAGGTGCTGGAGCTCAACATTGCCCAACAGATTTAAAAAAGGGAAAATTCACAGTTTTTCAAAGTGTGGAAAAACATCTGCAGTTGTCACAGATGCTCTGTGTTTCTCGGGCGCAGCTGCAAAATCCGTCATCCAAGTGCAGGCTGGTCACATCCAGCATTCGTAGCTTTAAAACAATACGCCGTAATTCATAGATATCCCACAAAATAACTTTGTATTTTATTCACGTAATCATGAAAGAGGAAGTTATAAGAGCACAAAAGCACACAGTGCAGGTGAGAGGTGAATGGGTCCAACAACCGGAGATCTTTCAGCCAGGACACACTTACCCTCCAGAATCTGAGAAAACGAATGGTGGTGCCTTTGCTGAAATTGTCCTCCAATGCTAAACAGAATCATTCTGATGGTTCTTCAGGATTCCGAAGACAAACCAGAAAACAACCAAGACCAGCACTGTAATGTTATTTTCCTGATTTAAAGGCCTCCAAAGAAGGAGTGAGGCTGGCTTATTGGCGGTAGCCAATAAGCCAGCGGGGCAGCTGCCTGGGCAACCGGTGCTTTTGTCTGAACATGTTTTCTTGCTAACTGGTTTCTATATGCGTGCACACTTTGTGTTGTGTTCAGCTAACACCAGCAGATGTTTGTTGCCTCTGTCACCAGATTTGGCAGACATTCCAACATATTACTGACGATTGTCAGCCAGCGTCTCCTATCTACTGCGGCAAATTTGATTGTACAAGAGCACTACACAGTCAGTCACCCACGGAAAAAATATATTTGAAAGATCGCATTGAGTTTGATTCGACTGCACTAAAACAGCACGTCCTGAGTTTGCTGCTCTGCACTATGAGTGACACAAGCTTATACAGTTCAACTACTTCCAGTCAGATCTTAATTAAGTAACGTTACGTTAGCGTCCAGGTAACATTTTGTTTTCGCTTGATCTTAAACAAGTGGTTACCTCTTAGAAAATAAAACAATAACATTTCTATTGGAATGCTCTTCAAATGTATAATGTCCACGCCCACTTTTTCTAAATTATGCTCAGACTATAATGATAATAAGGATACATTTTATTTACACAACACTTTTCAAATAAGTTTACAAAATGGTTCACAGACATGAATACAGAAAATACGCAGTGCAATAAAATAATGAATCCTGAAATCAATCAGGTATTCATCAACATCAGCATTTTCGGCTTTTTCCTCCTTCTTCTCTGTGTATCACCTGTGTTGTATTAGTATCATCAGCCTCACAATGTTCCCTTGTGTTTCTTTTTTTCACCAATCAGCTTTCAGCCTGCCCTTGTGTCTGCCCACCTGTTTCTATTTGTCTGATTAGTTTCTCTGGTATTGAAGGCAGACATCACAAAATGGGTGACTGTATTATTGCCTTTTGGGGAGCTGATGGAAACATTTACACCATGTGTCATGGGGGATTAAGGGTTTGAAGTCCGTCCTATAAAAAGTAAGAAGACTGAAGAAGCGACAGACTGCATAATGTTTTCTTTCCTTCTTATAAGCGAGGTTCACCAAAACGAACCCTGACGAGCGGAGGTAAAGAATTGATCAAATTTGCCTAATTTGAAATAAGTTGAATTGTGAAACATTTGATATTTCAGTGATTTTCTACACAGCAACACTGGAAAGAAACAACATATTACAAAAAAATACTACTTGCAAACAAATGGCTTGGTGGAGAAGATAAATGGCACCATTCAAGGGTGAACACGCTTTTTAACATATTTTATTTGTTATTTGAAAAAATGTTGCAGACCCAAGTGACTGGGACAATTCCATAAAACCAACTGTGTTTAGACTATGGACAACATTTTTTTTTCTTCTTATGAATAGAAGGGAGGCATGTTACCCGTCTGAAGTTCCAGACAAGTGGCGGGTATGACGGCATTTTCTCTCAGCAGGAGCTCACTTGGCAGCCATATCTGATTCTCTGCTTTATTGTGTACTTGTGTTTCTACATCAACATTACAGATAACTGATGAACACATCTTACTAACTGAAAATAAGGACGTATGCATCCAAACTGCAAACCTCAAAGATGTTTAGGCTAAAGTGGGTGCCAGTATTGCAGACGGACAAGAAGAGTGCGGAAGAGGAAGTTATCAAAGGGGGAAGATAAGAGCTTTGTGGTTAGGGGCCCACAAAGAAAAGGGGGTAGATTAAAAGCTGATGTATTGGGTCCATTCGCAATAACAAACATTGATGGAAAAAGTGCTGATCTAAAAACACCAACAGGAAGCCACATTGAAAGAATTGACCATCTAAAGAAATATGTGGAACCACAGCCAAGAATGCCCGCCAAATGGATCACTCCTGCTTTCGCTCCTCCTCCAGCACTGCAGCCCAGCCCCTTGAGGTGTCTTAGGGTTCACCAATCGCCTACTTTCACACAAAGTCCACAATCAGACCCCTCGTATTCCAGTCTCCAGTCATGTAACGCAACCGGCTTTAAACCCTTCAGTCGCCTCAGATGAATGTACGGATCAATACAATTTCAGTTTAGTGACGATTTGGGTGTCCTTATGGAAATGGATGGTTGCATTTAATTACAAATGAGGCCTTGGTAAACAATGCTGTCTTCTAATTCTCAGCAATAGCTGACCTCTGGTCAGGTAAACAGGAAGGTGTGCCAGTGAGCAAAGTTGGACCATACAAGATATTTGCCACAGACCTGCAGAATCTGGCCACCAGAGGGGAGCTAGAGAGTGAGGCAAAGGCGGTAACAGCTTGCATTAAGTCTTTCCATTTACACGCTTAGCAGTTTTTGATGGCAAAAAAATGTAATGCATTTCAAACCTGACACTGTCGGGTTTCAAATGCATTCATTCATACCATCGTTGTGAAGTTACAAGAGAAAAACTTCAGAAAAAGTTGTATCTCGATGACTCCTTTATAATGGGTGCGAAGTGGCAAGGATCATTCAGAGGATTAAAAAAAGTAACTCTTTTTTAAAATCTGTTCATACATGATTAAACATTCATTCATTGTTTGTAATTTTTCAGCTTGACCCAATGGCCTACAATGTCCTCATAGGACAAATGGTACTGGACATTTACGTGCTCTAGCTTTTTTTTCTGTCAGTGTGTACCATCGCATTCATTGAAGGGACTTTAAGGAATGAATTGCACTTGTCTGATGTGTTGGAAAACGTGTTAGGACTATGCAGAGCATGTGGGAATGCTTGCCAAAGTCCAGGGAGAAATAAAGGGTCCAACATGCAGTGTGTGGTTCCATTGGATTTGTATTTGGAAACCACCATAGGAGCAGGACTTCTATTGTCCAGCATGTACTCTATAACAGACAACGGACGAGGACGTATCTGGCTGAAGCTCTCCACCCCTGGCTGCTACCCCGGTCTCTGGGCCTTCAGTACTGTGTTGTGGGTAGAACATTATTGTATGAATAAAGATTATTCTGATTTTGTATTCTACTCTTCCTGTGGCTCAGTGTTAGCAATTATTTAGTGTGTTTTGACAGTATTGATTTTTTGTCACTATTTAACAGTATTTATTTGTCATGTGTTGCAGGGGGCTGTAAAGCGGTGTATGGCTGTAGCCTGCAGAAAAAGACATTGAGAAATATGTTCGGGTATTTTCTAAGATACAAAGTTGTTTTAGATCAACCCCAAAATAATAAATGTTACTAATGTAACAAAATAATGTAATGCTAGGGGCTGACATAACGTAACAATACGTAACTAGAAGCAATTCAACCATGTACGCTCGGTTGACACAGCAGTGGGCCAAAGATATGTGCTGAGATCTTACTTTTCCATAAGTGGCTGGGAATACACGTTAAAGGAATTCTGATTGTAACCTCTCTGATTGACTACAAAAGTCAGATGTTAGTGGATAATTGATAAAAGATTTTTGTCAAGTGGGGAAAAGGGCTTTATAGGAGAACAGCTAGAATATTTACATTTTTTATCGCAGGTGGTCATGATTGCTTCTACTGGATTGGACGGCTGGACTGGGTGTTGCTCCAATCACAAACTCCAGAGGTCCTGGCAACAAGTGGGATGGGCTGTGTCTGGTTTGAACCAGGATCATGGAAAAGGAACCAGACAAGACAAAAAAAAAAGGTTACACACATATGCTACGTCACACATGTGTCACCAGATATTCATTGCACTGGTCCTTGTGATTATAGCGTGAAAATGAATGAAAGCAAATTTTCAGGAGGTAATCAACTTACTAGGGGCGGGCCTAAAAATAAATAAATAATATAATTATGACTTTTCTTTGTGATTCACAACTTACAAAAATATATTTATATAAACATTTTTTCGACAAAAGAATAGATTATTTTGATTGGGAAAACATGGTAAATGGACTATTTTATAGTGCTTTTCTAGTCTTCCGACCACTCAAAGTGCTTCAACACTTCATGTCATCATTCACCAACTCACACCCATTCATACACGGATGGCAGAAGCTACCATGCCCCAAGCACTCTAACTAAAATTAAAAATGTGGGATTAAGTGTCTTGCCCAAGGACACATCCACATGAATTAGTGGAGCTGGGGGTTGAACCGCCGATCCTCTGAAACAGGGCATCTGACAAAAGTTCAGCTCATTACGTGGCCAGTTAGGACAGAGTATCACGACATAATGCATGTGATAATCACTCAAAATACAAATCTTACAGTTACATATTGTGTTTATTTTTTTAATTGGCTGTCACGATCAGGCTTTGCCTTCTGTGTTCTGTGTGTGTCTTTGTGTAGCTCCACACCCTCCTCACTCTACCTGTCAGCCACTCCCTCAGCACCAGCCTAACTCCCTTCACCTGCCTCTGATCACTAATCAAGCACTCCCTCCTTATCAGCACAACTCCCCTCACCTGTTCAAGCCCTTGCCTCTCAGTCACTCACTGCCAGATCATTTCCATGTCTACCCGCCCGTTTGGCTCGTCCTGTTCCCGGTTTCCCCGCCTGCCCGCCCTGACTCGTCCTGCTGGATTTCCCCGGTCATCTCTTGTCTCGTTCGTGGATTCCACCTGTGTTCCTATGAGTTTCCTGTTCTGATTTAAGTATTCATTAAATTCCACTTCACTCTACTTCTGGTCTGGTCTGCGTTTGAGTCCTCCACCACACCCTGTGACATTGGCAAGTTACTGAGAAATACAAAGGCAGCTTGCCTACTGATTTTTATTGACGTAACTGGCATTTTTAGTTTTTGTTTAACTTGATCTGGTTATTCTTGAGGTCACTTAGAATTGAGAAATATATTTTTTGTAAAAAAGGGTTTAGTCGTACAAGTTATAAGTAGCATGAATAAATGATGTGTGTTTACATTATTGCAATCGGTTGATGAGCTTGCTTTGCTGTCAGCATGTACATCCCCATGCAGCTAGCTACCAAAGCTAATCCAGAGAGCTCCTGTCGGCATCTGCTTTTGCGAGGACTCGAACACATGCCTTTTGAAATGATTTATGTCCTGATGTCCAGCGGTGTACGTGAGTGCGGAGTTAGTGACCCGCATTCAGAATGGGCACAAAAGACAAAATATTTAATATCTGTTTGTTGAAGGGGTGGGTTGTGTAAACAGTGAAATGGATGCAATGCTTGGACATAAGCACACATGCATGTGCAGGAATATTAAATGTACTTAAAAGTCACGGCTATCTTCCCCTCTCACTTCTCTGCAGGGATACTGATCCAAGGCTTCATTTTCTTTGATACTGCTCTTTGTATTCCCTGTGAAATTCCTTGTGATGCAGTTTAGTATGCAGAGGCAGCATTGCGTTAGCCCCAGGACCGCAGGAATGTGAAGGAATCATGGTAATAGAGGACAGACTCTGAGGACGTGGAATACACTGGAAGATTCCAGTATTTTAGTGAAACTCCCCTTGGACACGACATGTTGTATAACACTTCAAATTGTTTATCAGTTTCATACAAATAGAGCATCAGAACAGTGTATATTAGCTCGGAAAGGATGATGGATAGTTCATGTTGTTGGTGAACGCCTTGTCAACTTTAAACCTTGACTATTTATCCAGTTTCAAGCCAAATTTTCAAACTCACTCAAAGCATTTTACCAAAAGGAAACTCAATAAAATTGCTGACAGTGGCCCAGAGGCTATTCAACTATTTAGTTCACACAGACTGCCCGATGCTGCTCTGGGTCTATTCAACCCTTTTATTGAAGAAGAGCTGCAACTGTTGCAAATTTGCGTCGCTGCCGGTCTGAATAGTTTTGATGCAAAAAATTTTTGTGTTGTCTCTTAGTCCCGCCCCCCGGTGTGTAAAGGCCTTGATCGCTGTGAATCCAAGGAGACTACAACTTCCATTCTCTGCTGTAACCCGGCCTACATTAGAACCTTTTAGAGTCACTCCAGGTACGTTTCATACCTGGATTTGTGCACATGTTTAGCGGCTCCCATTGTCCTTCAACACATATGTTTTATCTTTGGATAAAGCAGAAGCTGTATTCCTTCAGGAAGTTGAATGTGTGCCATTTTTGGGTGCAACCCAAGAGGAATCGAAACATTTTGGACTGAAAAGGTAATTCCTCACAGAGAGCAAAAAGCGAGCACATCATCCATTAAGATTCAAATTAGTTTTAAATTGCTTTCCCATTAGTCTCTGAACTACTTGGATGGATTATTGTAGTAAAATAATATTTTATTAAATGATAACTTAACATTTATAACGACAGGTTATTATAGACTGAGGAACCTATTGAGCCATACATGTCCAGTTGTAAATGTTTAGTTTGGTTCAGATGTTCTTACCAGAATATTTTTTGTTTTTTGTCATCAAGTTATCCTGGAGGAAGGTTTACACAACCTGGCAGCCCAAAACACAACAAAAGCATGAAGAGAACTCTGTTGTGAAGTTTGCAGATGACGCCACCGTCATTGGCCTGATTACAAACGGCGATGAGACTTCATAGGAAAGAAAAACAATCTTGCAGATCGGTGCTTAGAGAACATCCTGCTGCTCAACGTCAGTAAAACCAAGGAGCCGATTGTCGATTTTAGAAAAAAGGAGGCGAAGACACACAAGTGAACAGTTTTAAGTTCCTGGGAATCAATCAGCATCGCAAACAACCTGTCATGGTCCTCACAGATCTCCATCCTGGTGAAGAAAGCTCGTCAACTCTTTTACAGAGGCGCAAATGTGCCTTCCTGGCTGGAAACATTACAAACTGGCGTGGGATGTGCACGGCTCAGGACAGGAGGGCGCTACAGCGGGTGAGTAAAACCGCCCTGAACATCATTGACACCATCTACTAAGCATCAGTGGTAGTGGGGACAAGAGGTGCCTGCGAAGAGTTAAGTTAAAAGGTCAACACATCCTCTTTGAGTTGCTAAACAACCTGAAATTATTTAATTTTTCTAGATTCCACGTGAGACTTTTTATTGTCACTACAATTGGTCTAGATGCTAAATTACAGATGCTTCTTTGCCATAGCAGGAATAAAACAATATACACTTCAAACCCTTAAAGGAACAGTTTATAACATTTAGGGGGATTAATTGGCAGCAATGGAATACAATATTCATAACTATGTTTTAATCAGTGTATAATCACCTAAATCTAAGAATTGTAGTGTTTTCATTAGCTTAACAAAAGCCATTAACCCTCTATGGCATCAAACTACCTTTTTGGACCTCACACCTCCCTTTTAATTGTTTTTAACTTGAAAACAGTATATATATTATTACCAGACATGTCTGTGTCCCATGAAATGAGGGAATGAAGTGGGTGTGACCTTTTGTTTGGGAGTGAATCACTCTTTCCAGGAAGCAAAGCAGCACAGGACACAGTGCCACCAATTGGTTCACTCTAGCTTTTAAATTGAAATATATTTATACAAAAAAAATGTATGCATGTACATTATATTGTAAAAAAGTGTGTTTGATTGCCTAATGACTTATTTTGATTTTATTTATATACTAAAATTGTGTTTTATTGTTCGCTGCCTTGGGGCAACATTGTGCAGCAAGACCACTTATGTTCAGGCAATATCCTGCTATAATGTGGAGATGATAATTATGACAATAGTCATTGTTTTTACTACACAGCAACATAATATGAGAGCAAGGTACATGATCAGGCAGTTAGGATCATTTTAGAGAGACAATTAGGAGGTCAGGGGTCAGTCAGGAGAGTAACGTGTGAGTGTAAATGTGTAACTGTTTGTTTGCATGCATGTCAGTAGATGAAGAGGGTAAATGACACATTACAATTTCTGTTTCCTGCTTTCTTAAAGGGGAATGCTTGTCTGTTGAATGACACAGTCTGTGGATGAAGATGGAGAAGTGGCAGAGGTTCCACGTCTATCCTGGTGAACGCCCCACAATACTTCCTACAATGCTTACCCAGAACATCAGGGTCCTTCCAGATGCGACACGCACAAGATGGTAAAATTAAAACAATGACTATGGCCATAATTCTTACACACACACACACACACACACACACAGTGGATGTTGGTTTACATGTTGATAACATTAAACTTTTTCTAAATGCTATAATATTGCTTGTTTTCCTTATTCCTTTTATCATAAACTATAAAAAACCTTGTTGCGGTACCCTCTTGGCACGTTGTTGCCCTGAGGCAACAAACCCAAATCTGGCTGGGGGGAATCAATTGTTAAACGACTGAACTGTTCACTGCTTCAGGTGGTTTGAAAGGAAACTGAATGTATCATGACAACTGTCACAAAGTGCATGATCCTCTGTTTGATGCTGTCTCTGTATGGGCTGAAACACGATGCCCACAACCTAACTGCTGCAAAAACATCATTCAATATTGATCATTAGCAGATAAAAAGCTAGTGTACTTCATCTAGCATCTATTATTCATGGGCATCCTTTACCCGTGATATGCGGGCTGACTTCACAACACTTAATGTCTCATTTTATTGCACAGTTCACTTAAACAGGCGGACAAGATTTCAGTGCAACAAGTTCACCACAGTAGATGTGCAAGTTGAGCGAACAAAATAGAACTCTGGTGTTCAGGGAAAGAGTACTATGTCATACTCAAGTAAAAGTACGGTTAATGTAAATACATATTACTAAAGTAAAAGTACTTGCATACAATTTTACCTTTTATAAAAGTAGGTCAGTTAAAACACTGACCTACACTTATCCCATACAGCACTACACAACAAAAATAAACATTTTTGGTACAATGCACACACATTAAATGTTCTTGAACATGAATGACAACAGAATCTGAAAATGCTAAATGTTATTAGCTTTGTAGTTCTTTCATGACACGTTGATAAAATCTGAAAACATTTAGCGTCAAACAATACATTTCCTGACTTCTATACACTCATATTAATGTACAATTTTTGATCGTTATGTACAGAAATATTCCAAACAGATTTACCCACACGGACAACAACTGACGTTCCACAGGTTAGTCACTCAAAAAAAAAAGGATTTCACTTGATGCTTCGCTCTTCACGTCCCGCTAGCTTTCTCTGGAGTAGAGTGCCCTCTAGTGGCTTTGGTGGCGACAGCATTTGTCCCACTGTATGTAAGTTGATGTTGTACAAGTCTCTATTTGGTCATGTGACAAGACAAAGTAATACACAATAGCTTTCTTTTTGACCTCTCTACTTTTCCAATGTAATAGACTATAAGTACAACATGAGTAGTAATTACTAGACATAATACTGTGCACTTGTGTCTTAACTGCCTTACACACACCTCACCGCTGGATGATCCACTTTACAATGTCAACATCTAACATTTTAGCTAGATTCCAGCCCTGACCCCTAACAAGTAGATGCCCGTCCATCAACGTTCAGAGGAAAATTTTTATTTTTATTTTTTTTGATGTATCACAAATACGTTTCAAATGAGTCCACGAAGGTTTACGTTGGTTGGGAGGTCAGGGTGGTGGATGGACCACAAACGCGGGGCTTTTAGTCAGGAGACTGTTGCTTGTGTCCCATGTGAACAGAGTACTTTTGTTGCCTGAACATAATCAAATACTTTTGTGCAGTCATTTAAAGCCAAACCAGGATGTTATTTTACTAGACCCAACAACATAGCGTCGTGTCCCGTTTTTTTTGTTTTTGTTCCTTAATCACCCCTATGATGACTTCATCACCAATTTGCATTGCTGTGCATTTTGTGCCAACATTTAATTGTTACAGTACCACAACTGAATTCATTACTTCAACTCCTGTTAAAGTTACACCCAACATGCCGTTGTGTCATGATCATCTGTTTGCCTTTTGATAGTTAAAGGGGGAATCCACTGATATTACATGTCAAAATCAATTTGCTAGTTAATAGACACTTTACATATTCATTTTTAATTATGTCTTGACATTATTGTACTGTTTATTGCTATTCACCAATCGCCAAGTCAAATTCCTTGTATGTGGAAACTTACTCTGCAATAAACCGTTTCTGAATCGTTTCTGATTCTGAATGGGTGAATAAAACTCAAATTGTAAAAACTGCTGAATAATGGCTCCTGTGAGCTTTGTCACGTCTATCATAAATAGCCCCTCATGATGTCATAGTGATGTCATCAGGGTTATCTCAGCGTTGTCTTGGAGACTTGGGCCCAATCCCAATCTTCACACTCAACGACTCAGACTTTGAGGCGTGAAGGTTTAGGGCTGTCCCACTGTCAAATCGTTGAGTGTCTCGCAGACATTTTGAGCCCTTTATGAACACGTTTCCGTAAGTCAGCATTAAGTGCAGACTTTGCCCAAGGAAATTACCCACAATTTATTGCAATGTGATGTTAAACACAGGGTTACCAGTGGAAGCATGGAGGCGTAAAAAAAGGTAAACAAAGAGGACGGCAGGTGTGTGTTCAGCCTGGAATATTACATTTACTCAAACATTAAGAGGATGTCTATTTATTCATCAAATATGGAATTTAGTCATTGAAGCTGTTTTGACAAAAATAAGTAAATCGATTATTTGAAATGACTCACAATTGTACATATTTTTTGACGTTGTCATGGTAACGTTAAATGTTGCAGCAAAGAGCTGTCCTATTCATATTTACACCATTTAAAGCTCACATCTCACTCAACCCTTTAACAGGTGATGTCAGTAGGTCCCTGAGGGTCAGGGTTTAAGACCTGGGGGTCATTGGGATTTGGCCTTCAAATGTATGACAGAAAGCCTGCAATACCAATTAGGGGCGTGGAGTTTGAAAGACTTGCCATTTACCAGAGTTGCATTATGGGATGTGTAGAAAGCATGATCTGATTGTAAGGACTAAAAGTTAGGATATTTAAGTCTCTACTGTTCTGATTCTGGCCAATCTTTGTTTTTTTATGTCACTCGCAAATCTTTCACCTTTATTGAAGTGTAAATTGATGGATGATTGCCCCTTGTAAAGGGGTTTTATCCATCCTAATCATAAACGTTTTTTTATGTTAATATATGGAAACTGATAGGAAAGAAAAGTTAGAAAAATGAAAAAAAGGAAATTATAAGCTTGATTATCAAACTACTAAAAGATAATGTTTGAGTTAAAAAACTATCAGTATCACCCTGACCATGATTTCCTCATGGGTTATACGATTTGTTATTCCTCTATCTCCATCTAGCGGAATACAATTGTAAGTACAGCACTGAGAAAACTGTTTGGGCTGAACACTGGAATGGCCATGCAGTCATCAAATAAAAGAATAAATAAATGCCACTGGAAAGTGGTCTCAGACAATATCTGCGTTTGAATCATTTTAAGATTCATGATCTCTTTAAGCCTGTGTTTATTGGACCTCATTAACATCTAACACATACTAGTGTGCATCTTCTGAAACATGTCATTAGTCATCAAAAGTCACATTTATAAGCAGCTCTCATTAGTTGAGTTGTTAAAAGAGGGGCCCACGGTTATACCCCAAACAGAACATCAAAAAGAGTCAAATGACGTGATTTTCACATTTTTTTAATTTACTTTTTATTGTAAAGGTGGTTTCTTAGAAAATAGTCACGTGATACAGAGGCAACGAAATCAAGAAAGAGGCCTGAAAACAGACAAGTGTGAAGGCAATAAAGTCAAGAGAACATCGACAGAAAATAGAACTTTGGTGATGACATTCTTAATAAAACAGAAAAAAAATGATGATCATAAAAAAAAAGAAGAGATTTTACAGATCGTGGCAACACGATGGAAGGCGCAATACAAACAACACGTGAAAACATAGTGTGTTGTAACCAAAGCCCCAGTAACAGTCTACTGCGTGTTGAGCTGTCCTACACTCTTTTCCATACAACCGCTTTTGCAGCCAGATCCAGTGCAGCACAGAGAACACACGCGTGGGACGCTCGTCTCCGTCTGTTTTTCTTCAGACACAATCATTATAGCGATGTGTTTTAAGACAACATCTACGGCAAAGAAAGCATAACGTCCAAACCAAACGGAATCACATACCACATGCTAACGGAAGATCTGCCGACGAGAGTGAGCGCTATCGCGGGTTTAATGCTACATCAGCTGAAATGACAAGATCAACAGCAGTACAGTATATAAAGACTAATTTTAACAGTAAAAAACATCTCTATTTAAACATATCTGCCTATTAGGGAATGTGGTTGTTTTAGTACTTACATAGTAGTCATTTATAAGTGTTGGTTAGATAGGAGATAAACAGTACATCCATCAAGACAACAGTCTTTAGAGACTTCCTGTGTGAGCGTCTATGTCTTGCAAAAAAAATTAAATATCCAACATCTTCAGTTAATGCTTTTTCTTCTCAATAAGGTGACAGTTTGCAACTTAAAATTATCCATACTATGGTTGAAAGGGATTTTAAAATGACTACTCTTTTTCATACAAATGCTCTGTAGTGGACCAAAAACTCATCTTAGAAGTAAATTATCTTTGATTTGGAAGGGCCGACTGTGGCTAAGCAGGGCCGTCCTTTAATCAGAGGGTCGGCGGTTCGATCCCGGGCTCCGTCTCTGCTAGGCACATGTTGATGTGTCCTTGAGCAAGACACTTAACCCCAAAATTGCTCCCGTAGCTGGGCCTACGGTGTGATAGCATCTGAATTGTAGGTCTTTGTATAAAAGCGTCTGCTAAATGACTGTAATGTAATGTGTTCCAATAATTTCCTTTCCGACTGATAGTGAGTTTATAAATATGATGCTCAGCTATTGATTAAACCAATGACTTCCAAGCTTTTCCTTATCAGTGATTCAACTGATGACCCCTGACTTAGTGACACATATTATGGATCTTTCACATTATATTCAATTCATAACAATAACAGAATACAAAAAAAGGATAAACTGTATGTTCTGCCCTCAGGACTGGGGAATTGGCGCCCCCTCGTGGGCCCTTTAGGTTGTGTTGTTAATTTGCATTTATTTTGACATGCACTCTGACATGGAACAGGAAGTTCGCCACATGCGGTAGTTTTAGGTAGATCGTCTCAGAAAATCATCCGCTGCCATCCATCATGTGTTTACGCCTTCGAAAGCATAGTCTGTAAGTATTTGTTTAGCACGGACCACAAAATAGTATTTTAGTAATACTTTCTTCTTAAGTATATTTCTAAAGGTTAATTTTGTATCCGTAGCCAGTTGTTGTTACACTATACGTTTGACTGCTACAGAAGCATAGGAGATACATAAAGTTAAATTTGTAGTGTGTAATTCATATGCATCTTGCTCATTGTGTCCTTCTGTTTGTTTTAGTTTTACTCTTATTTGATTCGTGTACGTCGATGCTGCACAATAAAGCTCCATTGAATGGAGTTTGGCTTACTGCTGAATTGTGTACCAAGTTACACACACACACACACACACACAACGAGAGCAGTACACTGTACAATCAACCCAAATAGTGTGAAGTGATTGTGTTGATTAGGATGAATTTTGAGCAGATTATTTCCTGTGAATTTTCTAACCTTTTAATACATTTCTCTGCATTATGTAAAATAATTCTAACAACACAGGCTCTGTTGTGTTCAGGTCTTCGTTGTGCCTTTATGCTGTTTATATCTTAAATAATAATCCAAACTTTACAAATAACAATTTCATGTTCTTCACAGAAATGTCTAACACCCCTTCCCACCCCAGGTTGGGAATCAGTGGATTAAACTGACCAACAGTGTTTAAAATAGTTCAATTAACTTGAGTACTTTCTTACTGTTGAAACACTACATCTCTACTTTGACTTAATTGCCCCTTTTCAATGCTGGGTTGAGTATATTTATATTGCAGTATCGCTTCTTGACTTGAGTAAAATATCCTATATATGTGTATATATATATATATATATATATCTATAAAACACACCAATACACCTCTGGGAGATGAACCCTCTGCATTGTTGTCATTTACAGATTACTTCACACCTATTCTCAACAGCTATTTGTACATGAGTACGAATCAGAAGAAAGTTTATTCAGTTGTATTACTGTATTACTGTATGTCATTTCAATGGCGAACTACAGCTACGAGCAGACCCGTGGGGATTGTTTATTCTCAGAAACTACAAAGCAGATTTTGGCCCCCTTACCCTCAATGGCAGAACTACTGTAAAACTACTGTTTGTTTCTTGTTGTTTTTTTAGTTTTTTTGCAGGACACAGACGTGACTCTCTAATACTTCCATTGTAGTCTAAAGTAAATGTCAGCCCTGGTAACTAAATGCCTACAATGGCTTTACTAAACAGCACATTATCATCTCCTCCCTTCGCCTCTTCTTACCTAAACTCATATCTTGTCTCCAATAAGTGTTAAACTAGCCCATCATCTCCTCCCTCGCCTCACCTCCCTGTACACAAAACGCTTTCCCATCACCTTCATCAAACAAACCCATATTTTTGACGCCTCACATATTTAACCCGTCGCTCCCCTCCCCCTCCTTTTAGCTCAGCAGTACCCCCCCCCCCCTAGCAGGGATGAACGTTACAGGCACGGATCTCCTTCCGGTCCTTGCAACCAGCCGTCAGGGCCCCTTTAGCTCTTTTCTTTGCCGCCATGAAGCGCTCCTGGATCCCCCCCTCACACGGTTTGGTGCAGTCCCTCCAGGTGGTCCACGGCTGCATCCTGCAACCTGAAACAGAAGGGTCTCAACTCTGGCTCTCATGTAGTCAAGCTAACATAACAGATCGCTCCCAACCAACCTGGCTGCTCCTCGGCTGCCGCGTCTCTTCCCTGTTTGCCCCGTCTCCTTCTCTTTCCTCCTCCTGCACCTCCGCCTCCACCCCCACCTCCTCTCTCCTCCTTTGCTTTCGTCCGGCACTTCCTGATCTTGCACTTCTTCCTCTGGATGGTCTCGGGACAAGCGCTGCCTCCGAACTGCGGCTCCAGTTTGACCATACGGGTCCGAATGGTGTGTCCTCTGCCGCAGGACTTGTTGCACTCGGACCATTCGGACCACTCTGAGACCATGCAGTCGACGGCTGGAACGGAAAAGGAATGGAGAACGAGAGAAAACGAGGCCAGAAAATGAAATGTCAAGGAGCAAATACAAGCACAGGAAATATTTCATGGCGTATTTCTTCTAGTGATTGATAAGCTCAAAATCATGTTTGGCAGTAGTGCATGTTCCAATTTTAACTGTTCCTCTGCCCTTCCCTCGAGGTGTCATTCCATTTCACTGAAAGCTCAAGTGAACCTGTGTGAGATGTAGGAGTCATGTGCATTCATCTTACCCAGAATGCAGTACACTAATGAATTATCAGTAACCAATGGACAATGTGAGACCACATTTGTGTTAATCCACACACAAAAACTTTATTCAAACAAGACGGTCTCATCCTCAATAATGCCGGCAAAAAGCGAAACAGCGTTACTGCTATGAATGGAAATAAGACGAACACAGAGCCGCCAAAAGAAAAGGCCTCATCACTTTATCCTATGAGACATTAGTGTGAAATTGTCATGATTAGCAGATAAATTATTGAGTTAGGGCCAAAGACATGTTGGTGCCAAATTTAAAGAAATTCCCTCCAGGCGCTCCAGAGATATCGCGTTCACAGGAATGGGACGGACGGAGGGACGACCCGAAAAACATAATGTAAATGAAACATGATAAAAAGTGACGGGTGAAACAGGCAAGAAATGAGAAATGACACCTCAAAATGAACAAGCGTAAAAAGAATACATATGAAACAAAACCTTGAAAACGCAAACCAGGGACGTTAGGGCGACAGTATATAAATCAGTTTGTGGAAAAAAGTTCAAGTTTAAAAAGCTAAGGTGAATGCACCTATGATTCTGAAAGTACAGCGCAGTAAGTTGTTCGAGGCTACCTCTCTGGATCTCTCCTCTCTGTGACGGTTAGGAATGAAAAAGCAGCAGCTCTGTGCTTCCAGTACTCACGGCACTCGGGAAGCATGCACTTCTCCGTCTGCTCCAGCTCCTCGGAGCACCCCGCAGGATCCGACTTCAGCATCCTCTGACGCGTTCGCAAGCCCAGCCCGCACGTCACGCTGCAATCGCTCCAATCGGACCAGGGTGACAGCATGCAGGGGATGCTATCTGCAAACGATACAGGTATGCAAGCATGCATGCTACAGTTAAGTGGGCTAATTATTGCTAATTACATAATGAAGCTGGAACCTGGTTCATGCTCATGTGTAGTATCTCTGTCATCAGTTGGCTCATTTACTACAGTGAACTGAATTGGTCCGAAGTGTAAATTTACAACAAACGCTCATGTAACTAGAATTAGTGACTCATGGTTGTATGCCTCTGCAAACCAGCCAAGTAGCAGTTTAAGGTCATCACTTCAGTATTTTATCCTATTAGACATTTGTGTTAAATTGTCATTATTGACAGGTCGCTGCCACTACCAGAGACGTATACGGCGTCTCTACATCACTCCTCCTCATTCCAAATATGGTAACTTCTGTTTATCGGTTGCGAAAAAAACCAACATGGCGAAGGCTGTAATCCAAGATGGCGACAGCAAAATCGCCGAACTCGAGGTTTCATAACGCCAGTCCACAAACCAAAGTCTGGTTTCTAATGCAGATAGTGTCTCCTCAGTATAGGTGGGGTTCTCAGCTGATCGCCGTAGCGACAGGACCCTCGGTATATCATTTCAACCCTTAGACATTGGAAACATTGGAAACGTTTGCATTTTGTCAATCGTAAGGTGTAAATGCAGGTAGTTTTGCGAGCTGCTAATTTAAAAAAGATTGGTCAAGAGAATTAAATATTGCTGTCAACATTGCTGGTATGTCTCGTGTCGCGCTAGTGACGGTTCTCTCTGACTAATCAGTGGTCTGCAGTGTTTTAACTCCACCTTCTGGTATCGGCTCACCTCGCTTGGAACCTGAACCGAGGTGGGAACAAGCACAGAGGGGATCTATTGGTACAATCCACAACTTTTGCTAAAAAACCTCTTATGTGTAACGAACTAAACTGAACCAGACTGCTTGGTTGAAACGTGCCACAAGTGGGTGTTTGTGGCAGATATAATTAAATTCCCTCCAGGTGTTCCTGAGGTATCGCGTTCATGAGGATGGGACGAACCTGAGGTCACATTGACCTTTGACCACCAACCAGTTCACCCTACCAAACGGGCTCCAAGCCAAATATGAAGGAATTTCCTCCAGGGCGTTCCTGAGATCTCATGTTCAGGCATAAAAAAAACGTGTAATATGATAAAACCAAAGAAATGAAAGAAAATACATTTCACTTACGGCATTCTGGCATCATGCATTTCTCCACTTCTGCCACCTCGGTCTTGCACATTGATCCGTCTATAGGGGGCATCTTCACCATGCGCTCGCGTCTTCTCATGCCCAAGCCGCAGGTTACGCTGCAGGGGTCCCACTCAGCCCACTCGGTCACCACACAGCTGCTGGGTGCTGTGGAGAAGAACACAACACCAAAAAACACATTTAGTATTTCGGTGTTTGCCGATGTTCCACCACAGAGATGTCCAGCTTTGGATTGACTGCTAAACTTAGCGTAATTAACTGAACAGTGCTTGTTAAATTCCATTTTGGGAGCTTGTATACCCGAACCGACTCACTGTCACAATAACCTGTCAAGGTTTTGTTGTTTTGGGGATTACTGCAGAAAAGGAACATTTAAATAGTGCACCTATTTAGATGAAAAAAAGACACATGTACACAACTCATATATGCTTAATGGTTCATATGTGAAAAGACGGTAGCACATCAAAGTCACTACATCGTGGAAGAACATTAAAGTCACTTATGAAATTGAAAAATAAATTAAATTATTATTATTGTTTTTTAAATTCTCAACAGAAACATAGACATAGTCACACAGCAATACAATAGAAAAAGGCCTCACAGCATTCATCGTTGACGACACACTTCTCCGTCTCCTCAGTCTCGAGCTGGCAGAGCGAGCCGTCCTCAGGATACTGTTTGACATACCGCTCTCTAGACCTCATCCCCATCCCGCAGGACACGCTGCAGGCCGACCAGCTGATCCACTCCGACATCATACACGTCGAGGGCTCTGTCCACCAGGAAAAAAAGATAGACGCTTTCAGAAGAGCATCCTGACATTTTAGTTCCATTTCTTTTCTCTTTGTTGGTTTATTATTAGAAAAGGTTCCGGGTTTGTACTTGAGCTGTTCAAAACAAAAAAAGGTATCATAATTTGCATGTGTGGATTTCAAGAGAGAAGAGAAACAATGAGACCAGATTCAGCTCTGGAGAAGCACATTGGAGCTGATAAGACATTCTGGATTTTGTTTTGTTTTTAATGATGTTAATGCATGTTCGCAGTGGCAGCCATGATGAGCAACATGGAAGACATTGTTTTATGATCGCTTCCTCAGTGGTTCCCTGACCTGAGGACATTATATTCTTAGTCTGTCAATAGGTGTATTGGTATATTTCTTGGTGTAGGTATGAGAATAGCTGCATACATAGTAAAGAATATTATATTAAATATCTGCCAATAAACCCCCCTAAATGTTACACACTGTTCCTTTAAGTCTTTGTACTTGGAAGTCCCAATGTAAGTCTATGGGGGGAAAAAAACTTTTTGGGCACAATGGGCTCACGTGACGGACCTGGAAGTTGGGATTCCATGGTTCGGCCACCACGAAAATTGGCTTCACCCTTGGGGACTTGGTTGAACCCAGGTCCTCCGGTCTTCCTTCATGCCACACCAGACTCCCCTCTAACAGCTTCTCGGATTTGAGTCTGTTTAACTTTCAAAAAAAGCTCTTCCTCGGAATGTGCTTTGGCTCTCTTTTTAATAAGGCAAGTTGCCTGAAGGACAGTCCTATTCACAGCATGGGCCTGAGGGAGTGAAAGTCAATATGTATGACCCCCGGCTGGTATATCAGCTGAAAAGTGAACTGCAGCTTCTCTGGCTTTAACAAGGCTCCACTTTTGTGTATTTCATCACTATTAGCCAGCACTGCGCTTGGAGATCTCCCTATCACTCCCTCACTATAGGAGTCTAACTGCGCTTTGATGCCGTCTCAGTATACACCTCTTCTGAGAGGGGGAGCCCTGGTGCAGGTACTGAAAGTGAATCAAGACGATGCGATTATGCGAGAACAGGCCACGTGTAAATCAACAGAAAGCGGCATTGCTTACCGGCTGTGGCCTAATAAAGCAGAACTGACCGAAGTATTGATAAAAGATACGGGTATATCCGAACTCCTCCAGAGAGCCAAAGTGTTTCCCAGGAATATCAATCAATCCGTGAACCCTGCAATTATCAATCTCCCGCCGCACGCTAATGGTGCTCTAAATGAAAACAAAGGAGATGCTCCGCAGCAAAAAAAAGCCATTGCTGTCTGATATATCGATAAGAACAGTTGGGTGTGTGTGTGTGTGTGTATGAAGCTCTGAGGGGAAGATGGGCGCTGACCGCTCTCAGCATTTATTTTCAAAAACTGACAACTAGAAATTGGACAAAAGACATCTCCTGGGGGTTTGGGGGGGGGGGGGTCGTGGGTTGTTGCTTGGAGTGAGAGAGCATCAAACTGACATCTTAGACGGAAATCAGAAAGAAAAGTTTCTCCTCGGACAACAGCGAGAAATGTAGGAAAAGATTATTCCAATTTGATATTTGGATTCCAGCAAATCTCTGCTTTGTTGTTGTTGTTCATGTCTTCGCAACTACACTTTGTTTCTGCATCTTAATTAACACACACAATCCTGGAGTCCTATTATCTCCACCATAACAACATGGTGGGTCGATTTCTTTAAACTCAAAGATAAACATATTTTATTCCTGGTTTTTGGCACCTGGGATGCAGGAGGACGCTCAGCGCAAACAGCTGATCCACATAATCTTATGTTTCAGTGAAGTAATTAGGGTATCCAAATCACCGATGTTTACACTGTGTGATTCGGGATTTGTATTTTGTGACAGATCCTCTCAAAGTAACCATATCAACTTCAGGTATGTGTGGGCTTCACTGACTTTCCCAGTCAGCTCCTGGCTCCTTCTGTTTCACCTGTTTCTTCACGCATGCGCTGCATAGTCCTTCACAACAGCAATCCCAATGGTCGCGCAGTGGCTACACAAACAATTCCACAAGGCCGTGAAATATAAATGAGGCAGCGGCTTTGTGTTTCCACCTGCAGATCAGCCAAAATGAACCATTCACTTTGGGTTTTAGTCGCAACGGGATGAACACCTGAGCTTTAATCTGCCTATTATTTTGAGGGCTCACTGATCAAAGGAAAACAAGGATTACAACAAAAATAAATGCAGTCTTTGTTTTTTTTAATGCTAATTTGTGCAATGAAGTGGGACAGAAGACAATAATACCATTGTGTTTGTGGTCATGCAATAGAGTTTGGAGGTGAAAAAAATAATAGTTTTTCAGCATATCGTTTAAAGTGTGCCAAAAAAGTTTGTGTTTGTGTGATTATACACCTAGTATATTCACAACCTGCAATTCCAATTGTGAAATACATATATGAATGAAAAGGTGTTTTTGTTATTCTTGTTACTCTCACATTGTTACAGGAACGTGGGATGAACTAATAAGAACGCGCTCTGCAGTCTTTGTCTGTTTGATGAAGGGGCGTACCGCTCCCTGCCCGACGGCGGTACGTTTGTAAAATATTTGGCCACCGATTGGTTGACGCCGCACGCCCAACATAACTGAAAGATTGGGTGCCCTGTCTGTAGTAATATCCTACATATCCGTGAATTCCGGTACATTTTATGAACCTAAAAAACACAAGTTTAATGTCTACCATTAGTCCCCAGGGACCTGAGTCCTGCCGACACCGCTGAGTGTGTGGAGCTTCAGAGAGCTGGGGATGATCAGATGATAACATTCACTCTCAGTGGTTTCCCTGACATGAGAAACACTTTCAAAATACTTGGGAAAAATACAGTACACAGAGCTACCTACAGTACTGTATGGGGCCAAAGCTTGCCGAGTGGAAAAGTCATGCCACGCCACTGAAATGTATCCTGTATACTATTAAGAACAAGACAATGGAGGATATCTGGTCAGCCTGCCACTAATTTTGTCAGGGCTGCAACATTGTTTTCAATTTAGAATGGTATTCACTGATATTATAGATGTAAATGAGCCCGGTCACATCTGATTGGCATGAAATGATGATAAATGAGATCTTTAGTCCGGAAAGGAAAATAAATAGTTTTCTACTACTGAACCTCGCAGTATTCACAACGTGAAAGGAAGGTTGTGTGTGATAATATAAATATATATATATTTCTGTATTTTTTCATATCAAATCATATTTGGCAGAAAAGTTTTTTCCCAATATTGTGCAGCTCTAATCCGTCCTGTTTAAAGCATGAACGTCAGAACCGTTACCATTCGTAGACCACCACCGTTAGTGTGGCTAACCATCGTGTTTAGTATTTTTAAATTAATCATATATAATAATAAATCAACGCAGCACAAGTGCCGCTGATCACTTACGTAGCACCTACAATGGAGCACCTTGCTCAAGGACTTCCCTACCTACATTTACCCAGTAAGTGCAGTGATTAACAACTATAATCCCCACCCCCCTACACTCTCCATCCTTTACTTCTGATAAGGACACTGAGCTGTACGTGTGTGTTTTTACCATCAATGCTGCATCCCGGCCCCATGCAGGGCTGGAAATCTTGGGTGTGGGGACACGGCACGCTGAGGTCCAGCTGGGCCTTCAGCATCCTCTGCCTCATCCTGCGTCCCTTTTCGCACGTCGCGCTGCTACAGGCCGACCAGGGAGACCAGCCCGAGTAGATGCATGTCTCTGGTGTGTCATCTAAGTGAGAAACACAGGAGTCAACAAAGAAAAAGAGGCATTGTGATATGTCCTTTGGGCTGACACTGATTATTTTACATCGTACCCACAGGTGATTACTGCAGATACTGGACCAAAAGAGGCCACCGAGTGACATTTGAAGAGGGGGAGAGCAGAGTGTGATTTGTAAATGTCTTGCCCAATTATCAGCAGTAGCTGGAGCTCCAAGAAGTAGCAGGGGGACTGGCTTCAATTAAAAGTGCTCTCTCGGGGGTTCAGAGAGCCAGAGAAATTGAGGGAGAGAGAGAATATACCGTCAGGCCTCGGGGACGAACCTTAAGCGGGTGCAATTCTCCGGGATAACGTATAATGACAGAGGAGAATGAGGGAACAAAGGAGCCGGAGACGCAGAGAGGAAGGGAAGAGGACAGACGGGGCTGATGCGTAAGTGAAAGCAGTGAGGCTCCGCAGTGGAACAATAAGGGGCCGGCCTCGTCTTGGTAGTGTCATCTCACACAGAGAAGACGGGAGATGGCAGAGAAAGAGAGGACAGGCAAGAGTAAGAGAGGAGGGAAAGGAGCAAATGGTCTATGTCTGACTGAGGAAGACATTTATTAGCCGGTGGGAGATTCTCGTTAAGAAATTCTGCAGCGTGGGCAAAATGCTGCCCCCTTCCCGAGGCCACTTAAAATAGGCTCTAAGCGGCAATGTACTACACAAACACCGTCATGCACGGGTCTGTCTTGTTTAGCCCATCTGCTGGTTAACAAGCAGGCAGGGGACAGCTCATTTAGCAGGTTTAAGGTCACAGCGCTGATCCCGGTTCTTGCTAGAAAAGAACATGGTCACAGTTTTGAACATGTGGTTAACTTTGTAAATTCAAGCAAAAGAATGTTTAGTAAAAAAACAAGGTGCGGCTTGAAATAGGTATGTTTGTTACCTAATTTAAGTTTTGTACATAACTTAAAATAAGTAAATGTTGCCTTTTTGTTGTCACCTGTCTGTCTGTCTTGAAATTGCCGGTCGACTCTACCTGCATGCTTGTCTTTTATTGTTGTTTAGCTGTGTCTGACTGATTTATGTATTTCACATACTCTGCATGCTTTTATGTTTTGTGCCTCTGACATGGATGTTTTTTAGTGTCTAACAATTGCATCATAATATTGTCTTTAGTGCATGTTTCTATTTTAACATGATTATCCCTTATTTTATTTGCTTTGTGTGTGTTGACTTTGAGAGCCTCTGTGTTAGTTGTTAGTTTTGTTGTTAGTACTTGACAATGTATAAGAGTCTCCTGAGTGATGATACTACGTATATTAATATTCTCACTTTTTTTCATTGTTTGTGCACGCAATATTGTATAACCTTTTAAATTTAATCTTACATTCTGTTTTTAGGTTTATTTTGTAACTTCTGCCTCTTGGGACTACAGATGAAAAATAGCCTTTTGGCTAACTGGTGCATTTACAGAAATGTTTTTATTAATGTGCACTGCCCCTTATCAAATAAACCAATACATAAAATAAACACAGGACATGAAGGTCTCCTGGGTGAAAGTCCTGAAGTGTTTGTTTGACACTCTTCCCTACGCAGACTCCGGCAGAGTACGAGTACAAATGTGTTTGAGGAACGTCAAAAACCAATGGAGAAAATATTTTCCCTCGAAAAGTAATTTATAATGCAGTTTGCAATTTGTTGTATAGGAATGTACGTTTTAGGAGGCTGACATTTTCATACATGCATTCATTCATGAAAAGTGGTATAAATCTTAAATAAATAATATGTATAAAATATATGTTATATAATGAAATACTATAACAGTGAACATCTTGCATATACATTGTATACTGATTTCATATGTAGCACTGCTGAAACATCGTTGTCCAAGAGTGACAGGATCTGTGATCCATGGCAGGATATAAAGTATATATAAAGTGGTTGATCGGGACAGGACTTGTTCTCTCTGTGTTCTGATTACCTGACCTGAGCCCATCTGTGACTCTATCTAAACCACTTGTGTCTGTAATGAGCTATGTGTGTCCTGGAGCGCCATGCATCCCTGAATCCCCGCGGTATCCGCTCTGTAAGTGGATAGTTAACGTGAATGTTTTGCACACACATAGTGAATTGAAGAGTTCAAAGAACATAAAGGAATGCAATATCACGTAATGACAGGGTCTGAATAAAACACTCCATCAAGCCCTTAAAGTCAATCCATTATACCTCGTTAGGGTCTTTCCCTGAAGAACTTTAATCAAGAAAAGGTGTGTTTACAGTAATTAAATCAGAGTAAAAGGATTTTTTTTTTCCAACCATATGAACGTAGCAGGATGGCCAGAACTGGGGCCATTTTATGTGTACCGTTGCCACTGCGACCGTTGTAGCGGGCTGACTTCCGTATAAACTAAACAGAAAAACAACTTCAACAACTTAATGCTTCGTTACTAGCGGAGTTGGCCAGTTAGCTAGCTAATTCCACCACACTTTTCATGCTACACTGGTTACAGGCTACCTAGCTAACTAACCAGCCATCCGTCTCCGGAGCTGCGTCCACTCTCTTCCCAGCCAGCTGCGACAAAACACTTTACCACCAAACTGACGTGTGTTGTCATCATAACAACTAGCAACAATCGCCGTTTCCTTTCGTACCACTCAAATGACCACAGAAACCAGTTCAATGTCCACCCTACTCCCATTTCATTTGTGTGGGTGTGTGCATTTACTGTAGGCCTACCTTCCTCCTTCTCCTGTCCAATATCAGCAACGATGTCGTCTATGGTGTCCGGGACCACGTTGCACTGCTCTCCCTGCACACACAAAGAAAACTCATAGAAAAATATATCCAAAGCTCCTCACAAAAGAAAACAATCTTTGAGCATGAAACTTTGATGATTACACTATTATCTCTGTTATCTCAATAGATCACCATTGGCTGTGTATGAGAAAATGGTATTTCAGGAATTGTGTGTGTGACAACATGATTGAATTGCAATTATATTCTTAGTTAACCTCCATGCCTGTGTGGATGTGTGATCAACAGAGTTTAAATAGTTTGACACCATCATCACGAAGCAGTCTTGTTTAATCAGATACTTCGACGAAGTTGCTTGTTGTTGAAGTCCTGCATAAGGTGTTAATTGTACGTAAATTACATATCTTTTTAAAATTTTCATTCAAAAACGGCTCACATGTAGCAAGTTATTACATTTGTAGCACACTTGAAATTAATATAATTACTATAAATAGACTTGATCACATGAGTTTCAAGTAGTTTTGCAGAAGAGCCATCAGCTACAGCGTAAATTTGCTGGCGACTGTCACATGCAAGTTAGCCCAAATGGCGTTTTACTTGCATAATATAGTGTTGGAGCTGTACTTCCTATCATTGGTAGAAATATATATATGGTTATCAAAGAAGTTGAGTAAGTATTCCATAACTGTTGGAGACCAATACAATAAACGATAAAGTGGTTTTGTCGACAAGGTTGCAGTGATTGAAAGTTTTGTAAAAAGCTAATACGTGGTATTTTTTGCCAAGAAACACTCTGTATAAGTGCATACCTACTTTTACATACTGCATTGTACCTTTCTAGCGATGCGTTCCACCACCAGCTTGGCTACAGAGGTAATTGCCCCTCCCTCTGGGTCGTAGAAGGGGCTCTGGGGGTGGTCTAAACTGGTCAAGGGTCGGATCTTCTCCTGAGGAATAGTGGGCTTGTTTGGTGACTGAAAAAAAGCCGAAATAAGACGGTAAAGTGAGCAAAAAAGTGTTATATTCAAAGGTTAAAGCTGCTATACTCAGTGTGTTTTATAGTGACAATAGATCAAATGAATTTGTGTCATGTAAAAGGTTTTGCTTGCAGAGACAAACCCACAAATAATAATCGACAGACTCCTCTCAGCTCTACAGTGTGCTTTAGCACCTTTCAGCTCATTGTTTTGGTTTTCCCGTCTGCAACTTCACAGTCATGGTTCAGTCTTACTGCCCTCATCAGCGCTGTTTTCCAGCTATATGGTCGGCAAAGAAGCTCTATGAACTGACTTTATGCCACAACGGATGGATAAAGTTAAAGATATTTCCCACTGGAGACCAAAACAAAGCTAAAAAAACTTGACTTATATTTGTCAAGTGGTCACAAACAAGAATCCGAATGAATGCCAATGTTGCTCAATGACAGCTTGATAGGTAAAAAAATGCCATGTTTCTAACACAGTTGTCATAATAGCTTGCTAGCATAATAGATGCTACCAATAAAGATGACAATGATTTGAAGGGAGAGTATTCCCACCCTCTCACATTAGCATTGTGCAAATGGGGCACTTGGTGTTGCAACGGTTGGTGTCCTAGAGAAAAACATCTGCTCTTGTACCGTGTACTGAGTATGAAATACAACCCGAGGGAGGGCAGTCTGAGTCTTCCACTGAGCAATGGTAAGAGTAATCAAAGTTAAACAGCCAAAATTTAGGACATGGGAATTATTTGTGGGACAAGAATACTAATCCATAGCAGCGTACAGTGTCTGCATGTCTGTGAAACACGCTTTTAGATGGAGAACAACATAATTTCTCTTGAGGGGAAGGGAACAGTGGAGCGGCAGTAATTTAAATATACAAACAAGAATTAATAAAAAGTAATAACATTGTAATGGGTGCATTCATTTTATACCCCAGTCTGACCTATAAGGGTAAGGTAGGTAGGTATCAAGAGCCCTGAAGAGTCACCTGCAGCCACTGCTCTTTTCTTCTCTTTGTTCTTACTCAGTGTTGTTTCAAGTTTCAAAGCAACTTAACATATGCAGGAGTACTAAATCAGACAAAAGGAAAGACATCCACAAAGGAAATATGAGAATGAGATATGAAGTTACATTCTCATCTACAGCGCTGTAACGGCGACGTTGATGATTCCCTTTGTAGTTAAAAGTTCACTAAAAGTACCTTCTCTGACTTTTTGGTTAAAAAACCTTATGTCAGAGGGCTGAAGTGCTGTGGCCGCCATCGCTCCTCGTCTCGGGGCCCCACAAAAGCAAAGCTGACTCTGTCCACGCCGTGCAGCAAAGTCGTTTCCCCAGGGAGTTGGACAGTCTCACAAGCTTAGCCTCCAATGCCTCCAGTAGAGGGTGATAGTGTCAACTGTTTGAAGTGGATAATAGTTGAAGTCTTTTGGGTGCCGCGGCAGGTAGTGGAGGTTCACCAATGTAGTCTATCCTCCCCCATTTTTATGAATTGCGTCCTATCTATTCATGTTCATACAAATTGCCAGTTTTTTTCTGTAAAGTTGAATTTTATGATTATTTGACAGCTCTGACTTCGTGGGAAATAAATTCGTGCCACACCTTTTGAAACCCTAGAATTTTTACACAGCTCACAAATCGGCCATTTACCTCAGCGGAAATACTGCTGTTTAAATATGTTTCAAATACGTTCAGTTGCCTCTTAACTGCCTTAATTATTGTACCTATGGTCACAACATCTTAAAACTTGGAAAACACATACTATGTATGTACATTGACTACCGTATAAATACTTTCTCCAAAATAAGAGCTCTTCCGGAAGAGCAGGGACTTCGCCTCTCTGTGACATACAGATACAGTCATCAACATCCCAAAAGGAAGCACAGCGATTGAATTAAGTGCAGTGGACTTTGACACAACCCGAAAACACAATACCGCCGGCCACGGCTGTTGCCGTCACCCAAGCATTTCTGATTTAGTAAACATTGTAAACATGAGTGTATGGTCTCAATCACTAGTTTCAAGTCTTCTTCAATACAGCATGATGTTCATTTAGTAAATAATGCTCCCATTGGTGACGCTACCTTGTTATTGACAGGTCGCTACCAGAGCCGAATATGGCGTGTCTACCACAACGTCTACAAACTCCTCAGTCCAAATAAGGTCCCTTATGTTTACCAGTTGCAAAAAACAAGATGGCGAGGGCTAAAATTCCAAGATGGCGATGGCCAAAATGCCCAACTCAAGGCTTTAAAACCGCAGTCCACAAACCAATGTGTGATGTCACGACAACTTAAAGCCTCTATTGGATGCTACAGCTCTCATGTTTCTACCATTGCCAACATACATCTGAACTAACCAGTGACATTAAACTAGATTACCTCATATGTGACACCATTGTCAGTGCCTGCATCCCAGGGAATGAGGTCTGTCTCCAGCCTCTGGACCCAGCCACACTCCTTGGTGCAGAGGTCCTCTCCCGACAGCCCCACATTCCAGTCTGGGCTAGGCCCCAGCATGGTGAGGAAGGACATCAGGTGACGGGTTTGGTCCACAGAAAACTCAGCCGATGGAGCTGCACGCCTGGTGACATGGGTGGGTAAAGAAAAGAAGACAAAAAAAAGGGAATTAAACAAAAGTTTATATCCAGATGATTAAATATTATAATGAGGCAGCTCTAAGTCAGCATTTTTTTGTTAAATACTTGGTAAAGGGCTCTGATGTCAAGAAATCTGACCCGACTCAACCTCTTCTAATTGCTGCATAATTGAACCTCTGAAATGTCCAATTAGTGGCAGAAAATTATAATGAAATGTTCTCTCTCAATGTCTAAAAATCGACAGAATATAATAAATCACTCAAAGATGATAATAGGATAATTTCAAGTTTTTGTATGAAAAACAGTCTCGGTATCTTAATCATCACGTCTTAACCGAGACATACTGTAAGTGCAAACAGAACTTTTTTTGAACAACTTGATAACTTTGCATGCAAAATTGAACAAAATCAGCTCATATTTCATGCTCACATGGAGTGTGTGATCGTGAGTGTGTGTGTGTGCATGCGCGCAAAGATTGTCATTAGTAAAAATAATAGCGGCACAATGTATCGCAAATGACAGACAATGCTAGGAGGGGTAATTAAACAGATGTTTGGTGAAAGATACGGTACATTAGTGTTTGTGTGTGTGTGTTGGTGCTCATGCAGTGCTGGGGGCTAGAATTATGATCGGTTTCTAATTGCTCTTGAGCTAGTTCCAAAGAGTGCACAGGATGCCAGAGTGTGTGATTATTCAGCCTGGCTTTTTAAGAGCTGCATAAAGGAAGACATCATAAAACAATTAAGAATCATTTGTAATTGTTCAAGATCAAGAGCAGTGGATGTGAGCTGCGCGCCATTCAGGATATTTAGAGCGATTGTTGTGGCAGTAAATCCCGCATGATTATCAGAGACCCCAATCATCCCGACCACGGACGGCTTCGGCTGCTGCCGTCTGGCAAGCGGTATCGCAGCCTCTGGGCAAATAAACTAGGCAGCTGTTTTTATCAGGCTCACACAAGTATTTGCACACTATATCCACATAATTCACATTACAGTGGTATATACACTGTATGTATATCATTTGTAACATTATAGTGTATTTTATTACCATGTTATACCGTTTTATTGCTATTATGCTGAAATGTTGAGGAGCCAAAACAAAAGAATTTTACTCTCTTATACTTGACATGTAACAATAAAAGTTTCTAAACTATACATATTTTCTTACATAAAAACATATCTTCAGAGTATCGACATATTCAACGAAACAGGAATGTACTAGTGCTGGGCAAGTTAACGCGTTATTATCGCGTTAACGCATTCATTAATTAACGCCGACAATTATATTATTGCGCGTTAACGCAGTTTTTATTTTATTGTTATTAAGCGGACATTTTTTAACACAAGAACCGGGCAGCGAGCGGTGAACAGCTGTTTGTGTGACACAGTGGCAGGCCGTCAGGGCCTGCAAGGCCTTCTCTGCTGGCCTAAACAGAATCACAAAGTTATAGCTATTTTATAATTGAATAATTTTTCTTAAATACACTACATGTATTATAATTTATAAAAATATGTTTCCCATTATCTTATTTTCTCATTGCACAGCTACTGTCTTCCTCAGTTGTTCTGCTTCCAGTGCAGCTTGTTTTAAGTAGAGCTTTTATCCAAGTCAGTTGTAAGAGTCATATGAAAAGAAAAAAAGAGTTTAAACTATTGAATAGACTGTCTCACTTACTCACAGCAGTTGGATTTAATCCTTATTTGAGTATAAAAGGAGTGCTATGTTGTGGACTCCAGAAATGTTAAAAGAAACCACCCTAAATCTTTGGCTTACCCCCACTAACCCCCAACGTTTGTTTTTTTTAACTTTGAAGTACTTATCCAGCTAATAAACATTTGATACTGCTCATAATGAAGATGTGATTCATGGAAAGGTCATATTAAAGATTTCTGCAACATGTTCTCACATATTGTTTCCATTGATCATTCAGCATGGGCTAAATTATGTAGATGTATTATTTGTGATGAAATGTAATTTACGGATCACTGAGCAAGAATTCTGTGTATCTTCGTCTACTTCAGACAAAACAGATTATGTTATGCTTTTGAAGAATCTTGTTTTGAAGGAAAGTTGGGTAGCTTCTCAAAAGAAAAAAAAAAAAAGACTGTTTTGTGGGCCCCAAAAATGAAAATCAGCCTTGTTTTTAGCTTTGCCACCAGACCAAAACATTTGTTAGGTCATACAATTTTCTACACTTAAGTATAAGACACCAAAATATGTTTCTAAAAGCTTTCCATCCAGGAGATAATAGAGATTGTAAAGCACAATCCTGCTGAAAACGAGGATGAATAAATTAGGGAGACATACATCAAGAGCTCCAGTGTGGACGACATGTTCATGGTCAACTTGATGTCACATGTAGTGACCTCCATTGGTCAGAGAGAAAGGATTCAAAGTTGAACTGAAATTCAAACTCTCCTTATGTATTGTTTAATGAATATACGCTACAAGATATGTGTAAATATATGCTGTAAGGTCTGTGCACAAAGTATGATTCATTTTCCATTGTTCACGTTGTATAATGAACAATGTCAGTTTTGGAGTATTGCCTAATGTCATTAGTCTACTTGTGTTGATGTAAATGTTTTCTGCTAGTTTGGTAATGCTGCCTAAATGCGGTTAATGCTTTATCTGAGTCATTGTCGCATTGAATGAACACGCGCAATGCAATTCAGCACCAAAACATCAGCTTGTTACAATACACAACTTTAATAATGACAATTGAGTCAAGGAAGTCAAGAGTTGGAAACAGACAGCTTCAAAGAAAAAGTTGCCCGTTTTCAAACGTGTTTGCTTCAGCGATCAATTTATGGAGAGCTAAAGAAACAAACAAATATTATAAATAATGAACACAATATTTAACTGTCATAAAGTCATATTTCTGCCACTTTCCCACAGTTGAACATGAATAAACTGCTAATGAGCACAAACACTGAATTATTTGTATGTAATGATTCATTAAATATCAATTTATTTAATTAAGGCTTCTTAAACTATTTTGGTGAATGTTTCAGGCTCTCGTAGTTTTGTTGTCTAAACCTAATTATGATCTTTTCCTACTAAGTATTTTCATTGTATAAACCTAACTATGTATTTCACAATCTTTTCCGAAACCAAATTACGTAGTTTTGTTGCCTAAACCTAACTAAATATTTTACATTCTTTTCCTAACCAAGTAGTTTTGTTGCCTTAACCTAACTGAGTTTCCTTTAAAGATGGAACTTCATTTTGAAACGACTGTATGCAAGTAAAGAGCTGAAATGTACAACGTGTTGCTGGCGTTCGTAGGAAAACGCACCAAAAAACGAGGAGGTATTGTATGAATTGTATGACGATTATTAATTTGATTAACTAATCATCATACCATGATACATTTGAACACATTGGCAGCCCTACTTCTAACATAACATAAGTATTTTTACATCGCGCCAATGAAATTACAGCACTGATATTTTCAGTTTGACTCAAAAACTCTCACTGCCAAAAAGTAAATCAAACTTCTATTACTTCTTTTCGGAAATCTTAAGTTTTTTATTTGAATTTCCATCTCTCACAGAAGTGCCTCTCCCATTCAGTAAAAGTGACATTGAGTGATACTTACAGGTTGAGCGGCTGCCATGCCGGCCACTGAGCCTTAGTCTTAATGACAGTAAGTACTTCATCTCCCTGCGAAGAGAAAGAGACAGACACAGTGAAAGGGGTACATGAGGCAATTTGTCTCAAAATGAATGACTATAAAGCGAGAAAAAAAAGAGAGAGACATTGACAGAGAAAAGACCAAAATTGACAATTTGACATGACCGAGAGTGAGTACTCTCATCCAAGGACAGCAAAGTGTGTTCCACTTCTCGGAGGCTTATGAGCCTCTTATCGGTTATTGGGACAAAATGGCTCCGTGCTGTAGTGTTATTCTAGCGGGGAGCCGCACTCCCACCGCGCTCCTTCGTTTCTCCGCAGCATTACGGCCACTTTATGGACTGCACAACACATTATCTATCATTATGCATCGGACGAAGCCTTATTATTTGGCAGAAAGCAGCAAGACAAATAGTGTGGCGCTGCAGCTGATTAGAACAGAATGAGAAAGTCTGTATATATCCTTTCTGGTTGGGATATGCCCAAAAGAAAAATGCCTTTTATTCTCTGGTTGACTGAAGGTTTCACAGTCCCTTTGAAAGCCTCCCGTCTTCCCTGGGGCAGTGTGGAGAAAACAAGTGCATGTGTGTGTGTGCGCGCGCGTGTGTGTGTGTGTGTGTGTGTCTGTTTACAAGTCAGTGCCCATCCTTCTTTTTTGTAGCAGCCTGGGGCTCTGAGGCCTCAGACCTCACTTCGTCTTCTCACAAACACATGAAACACACACAAACACATAGATGGACACACACAGATAGGTGTGTGTGTGTGTGTGTGTGTGAGTATAGGCAGCCAGAGGAAACACACAAACTGGCATTGAGTCAAGAAAAACCAATGGAGCAATGGGTGAATATCCAGACAGGAAGGATGGAGAAGAACGGTCCTTTAATTTGTAGTGTCTGGTTAGAGGTTATTGTCTCAAACTTCAGTGCATGATGTGATGTAAAGTGAACATGGCTACAATCAACAGTGGAAATACATTTAGATTGGATGTTGGTGTGCAAGCAAACACTTCTTGGTTAGATTTTAAGTATGATTTTAAGCATGATTAAAACAAATCTATATCAGTATACTGATTCCATAAAGCCAGTTAAACCAGTACTAATAGTTTGGGAGGAGCCTTATCCCAATTCCACACTAGACAGGAAATGATTCAAGGCATGAATATGGATGTCAAGCAAATTATGGCTTTGGAACATTTCTAAGATTTGAAACAAAATATTTATTACAAAATACATTTTTTTCAAAGATCTAAAATGACCAATGTTCGTGTTTACATCTTGTGTGATAAGGGCTGCAACGATATATTGTATATAAGTAGTGGACAAACTCACCATGACGTCACCCATTGGTTTTTGGACTTCAGCGGGAGGAGTTAAGTAAAAACAAATGCTGACTTTTTTAGGAGCCATCTTGGATTAGGGTTAAGTGACCATATTTGGATGGCGGAAGATGATGCCATGTACAGCTCTCGTAGGGGAGCAATCTGTCAATCACATGGTAGCCCCGCCCTTAAGTATACTCCACTTTTATGGTCCTTTTTCCTCTAAATGGAATCATAATTTACGAAATGAACATCATGCTGTATTGAAGAAGACTTGAAACGAGGGAGTGAGACCACATTAACAATGTTTACTGAGATAATAAATCAAGTGCGAAGCAGGGTCATTTTCTCATAGACTTCTATACAATCGGACATCTCTTTGCAACCAGATAAGTCTCCCCCTGCTGGTCAGTAGAGAGAATGCAAATTTAAGATACTATCGGCTTCACTTTTCAGACCCAGAGGTTGCAGCCTGGTAACCATTAAAGGAACTACACGTCATGTTTTTCCTACCTCGGTAGCTAAACTGCAAGGAAATCAATGATTACACGTTTCTCACTTTCTAGATAAACATGATGAAGGTAATTGTCATTCCCTCCACCCTCTGCCATTACCAGAAATTCTCCACACTCTGGTTCAATTTAGGCTACTAACAAAAGCATCCTATTCTATTATCCTATTTCTTTGGCAGCCCTCAGCCTGCATCATGTAATACAAAATGCTTCGTGGAGGTCGGCAGGAGATGTAAATCCCCCTGTAATGGTCTTGTTTGTTTGTGGTGATCATTGTAATGGCACAAAATGACTGATTTACCCATGTTTAAAAGCACATTACATTTTCACAAATGTTTTCAAGGAGAGAAGAAAGAGTGGAACATGAGGAGAGGGGGGTGGAGTTAGATACGGAGGACATCATTTTGGACAAGAAGAAGAAGACGAAAAGAAACAAGTGTGATTATACAAAGTGATGCGAGGAGGGGGAGAGGGTGGGACAAGGAAAGTGATACAGCGGAAGAGTATGAGGATGGAAAGAAAAGACGAGAGAAGGATGAGGAAGCAATAAGTTAAAATGAAGACAGAGTAGGAGAGCAGGATAATGGGACCAAGGTGGATTGGGGCAGTAACAAGGGAGACACAGCTGAGAGGGAAAAGAGGGAGGAAGCGGCAGCAATGCACTTAAAGGACGGAATGAAAGTCTGATAAAAGAGAGGTTAAAAAAGGAGTAGATGAGAAGAACAGGGGGTCATAACTGATGCATAGTAATTCATATACTCGCTAGCATGATAACACTTCCTTCACTCCCTCTCTGTACTTGATCCTTTGTTCCTTACTTCCCTCCCTCCGTCCCTTTCAAGGTTCAAGGTTCATATATTGTCATTCTACAACATGCAGGGTTGCACAATGACATGCAGTTTAACTCCCTTTATGCTACACAAGAAAATGGTAAAAGGAGTCTGATTCAACTGGCAAACTCACAGTCCAATCGTTGCAGTGATGGAAAAATGTGGTTATGATAAAAAGGATCCTTTCATTATGGTGCTGAATTTGTCATTTTGTCATTTGTCATTTGTCAGAATTGCTTTGTTTCTTGCAATAAATCATAATACTTAGCCAATTTTAGTATAAATACCAGCCCAATATTAATACTGTTAATGGTCTACATGGTGAACAGATCACCATGTAGACCACGTTGCATCCTCCTTTGCGGTACCGTCGGAGCAGCATCTTGGCGATTGCCTCAGAAAGGCTAAATGATAAAATATATAAGGCTACTGTTTCAAATCAGAGTACTCACAAAAGAACATAGCCCTATCAGAGCGCTGGATGTATTTTGATTTTATGAATGATTGTCTGTGAAAATCAGCAGAGTGAGACACATAGAAGCAGCTGTTCTCTTCCTCTTGTTAACTGCATGCCTCAGCCAACGAGTCAAGTTCAATTTTACATCCATGTATGTCCAAAATATTTAACTTTATCATTTTATTCTGTAAGTCATTTGTGTGAAATTGTTATTATCAGCATATGAATTCCTGAGTTGCCAAAAATGTGGTTTGTGAGGTCACCTTGACCTTTGACCATCAAATTTGAATCAGTTCATCCTTTAGTCCAAGTGGAAGTTAGTGCCAAATTTTCAGAAATTTGCTCAAGATGTTAACGAGAAAGGGACATACGTACGTATGGACAGCTGCTCTGTGAGGCTGTACTTTGGTCATGGTTCTTTGAGCTATATGCTATGACAATGAGGTGCAGATATTTAGCAGGTATACTAATTACCATGCTCACCACCAATGTTTAGCATTTTAACATGCTGACATTTGCTAATTAGCTCTAAACACAGCTGAGACTCATGGGATCCTCCTTAGTTTTGATTTCAAACGTTCTGACCCAACCATGGCGCTAGCTGAAAAGTTAAGGGATCACCTGAGTGGGACACAAATGTGTGCCCCGAATTTCATGGCAATCCATCCAATAGTTGCCCCAACCTTTCACTCAAAAAAACAAACGTCGACCTCATGGTGGCGCTAGAGAGGATCCCCAAAGTCAGTCAGATTCATTCTGTTTGTTTGAAAAAGTCATATCAATCCATCCAATAGTTGAGATATTTCAGTCTGGACCAAAGTGACAGACCGAATCTGAATCTTGAACGCTGAATCTTTACATTTACTGATAATGACAGTTGTCACTAGTTGCCCTCGTCTTAATTCTACGCAATAGAAACTCAAATATGTTCCATTACATTACATTACATTACAGTCATTTAGCAGACGCTTTTATCCAAAGCGACTTACAATAAGTGTATTCAACATCGGTTTTCGAGAGAACAACTAGTCACCAGAACAACAAGTGCATGTCCTTTCCTCAACCAAGCATCTAAGAGCATAAACCAGAACCAACGTACAGTGCAGAAACAAACAAATGCAATAAGTGCCACAAACTAATATAAAAACACTAAGTGCAATAAGCTAGTATGAATACAATAGATGCTAAGTAAGTGCTAAGCAGAAGGGTAGGCCTTCTTGAAGAGGTGAGTTTTCGGCCTGCGCCGAAAGATGGGCAGCGACTCTGCCGTCCTGACGTCAGTGGGGAGTTCATTCCACCACTGTGGGGCCAGGACAGAAAACAGCCGCGACCGGGTCGATCGGCCGCAGGGACCTCTGAGCGACGGGGCAACCAGTCGCCCCGAGGTAGCAGAGCGAAGTGGTCGGGCCGGGTTGTAGGGCTTGACCATGGCCTGGAGATAGGAAGGAGCTGTTCCTTTCACTGCCCTGTAGGCTAGCACCAGAGTCTTAAACTGGATGCGGGCTCTTACAGGTAGCCAGTATAGAGAACTGAGAAGGCAAGTTGTGTGGGAGAACTTGGGGCGATTGAACACCAGGCGAGCTGCAGCTTTCTGGACAAGCTCCAGAGGTCTGATGGCCGACGCCGGGGCTCCGGCAAGTAGTGAGTTGCAGTAGTCCAGGCGGGAGATGACAAGAGCCTGGATTAGCACCTGCGCCGTCTCATCAGTGAGGAAGGGGCGAATCCTCCTGATGTTGTAGAGCAGGAATCTGCAGGAGCGTGTAACCGATGCAATGTTTGCTGAGAACGACAGTTGGTCATCCAGGGTCACAACCAGGTTTCTCGCAGTCCGAGTTGGCGTCACCACGGTATCATCAATGGTGATGGACAGGTCTAGGTCTAGACAGGTCTAGCCCATCCCCTCGAGGGTGGAT